GATGCCTGCTTTGGGTAGGTTTCTGCTGCACAGAAGGAATGCCTATTTGCAAAGTTTCTTCGTAGAAGTATCTGTTGCACCTCAGTCACAAACACGATAAGTTTTGTATGGACCTACCGACTGTCCTTTCAAGAATGGAAGCCACTTCTCGTGCATAAGATTGTCACGGTATTTCCTTGTGAAGCAGCCCACATATGACACGAACGCAGTAGTCAGTAACACATCCCCAGGTAAGGTCTTCTCCTGCTCCTTGAAGTTCGCCACAGATTCGGCCCAGCGGACGTTTTCCGAAGCCAAGCCGCCGACCAATCGATTGGCCAGCTCGATCGTCATTGCTGTCTGTTCGGCTTCTTGCTGACACTTCAATTTCTCAGCCGTGGCCTTGAAAGAAATAACATTTTAACCTTAATTTTGGTCCAAGCGTCCTTGAGTATTTTAACAGATAAAAAGCCATAAAGTCAAGGTTCGTTTGAGATCTGTAAGCGTTGTTAGAGGAGGCCGGTAACCGGTCGTTTAGCCCCTAGCCGGTTAGCCCCCAACCACGAGTGGATTAGCCCCTAGCCGGTTAGCCCCCAACCAGGAGTCGATTACAAACCATCAGATTGACCACCCTACCCCGACCCCCAATCACCTGCAGCTGGTTATAGGGCTAATCGGCCTACACCGTAAATATCCCCTGATGACGGATACCAAAGGCTCGTTGAGGACAATCTGCACTGGATCATGCCCGACGACTTTACCACACGGCAGTGGACAACTTCATCACATGGGATGATGGCAGGATTACAGACACGGGTGAAAACTACAGTCGCCTTAACCTCCCGTAAGCGCTTACGGAAACTGCTCGCTTACGGGAGGTGGTCCCTTGGGAGGGCCTAGACCATATTGAGTCAAATTTTGCCTCATCAGCACATGGTAACGGCACAGACTTACCCCATGTTTTAAATGCTTTATTCATGTGAAGAGTCAATTTCGAGAAAATCCGGTACTTGGAGAAATTTCCATCTCTTATACTACCAGGAAAACGATAACGTTACAGCATCTCATTATCCAATTTACGCTCTATTATCTGTCGAGTGGTCGCTTACGGGAGGTTAAAAAAAGAAAATTTCAAACTTTTAGCTCTAAAAGTGGTCGCAGTCGCTTACGAGAGGTGGTCGCAATCGGAGGTTCGATTGTATGGCCCTATTCAGTTCTCGCAGAGGAGAGATGAAATTAAGTCAAGTCGGTCGAAATTTAATACTTTGATATCATTACCTTCTCGAATGATGCCGTGAGCTCAGCCAAGTTCTCATCGAGCTCATTAATCTTTGCCTTGATCTTAGACAGCTTCTCTTCTGCAGCTGCCAGCTCTGCATTAGCAGCGGCTAAGGCCTGTCTCTTGGGTTCTACGTCACAGAATACGTGATAGAACTTGATGATGTTGATGCACCATGCGCAGATACCGGCAGCAGCACCAGACTTGGAGCGGATGAAGTCTGGTTCAAACTCAGGATCGTCAAGGTATGGCTGCACTGCCTTCAGGTTACTCTCGTGAATATTTTCTTTGTCGTAGTTCACCAACTGGTCTAAAAATTGATCAACCTTTCAAAGAGACAGAAAAGAAAAATCGTTGGCGGTGGCTGGGAAAATAAATCTTCCCATTTTACTTGCTGCGAAATGTCTCGGTACAGCTGCAGTAAAATCACAAAAAATTGTCCTTGCGTCAGATATTTACCTTGGCCATCATGATTTTGCACTGCTTCCAGCTCCTGTCTTTAGGAATCTTATTGGGCGGAGAAAGCAACACATAAACAGCAGATGTGACGTTAACTACAGCTGAGGGTGGCGAACCAAACGACTTCAACTCTGTCAAGTTGTTCTTGTTCAGTGTGTTCAAAGCTTCTTGAGCGGCTTGCAGAGCAGGTTCAGCTTTAGCTAAGTCCGTTTCACAAGACCTCTGTTTCTCAGCCACATCTTTAGCAATGACCTGAACCTTCTTTTCTTCTTCGTCAGCAATCGCTTTCTCTTTGCTAACCTTCTCAGTTTCGACGCCAACCTTTTCAATCAGTTTGTCCGCATCTTCGTTCTTCTGTTTGAGTTCGACTTCTTGGGAGGCCAGCTTGGCTTTCAGATCATCTAC